CCGGCCTCCCCCCCCGCCTGCTTTGTGGCCTCTCCTCCTTCCCCTTCAGCAGCCACCCCCGCACCCTAGAGGCAGAGGGTGCCGAGAGCGACCGGCCCACATCTGGAATCGGAGTAACCGGACCCCCGTCCACCGGGACGGCCTCCCTCGATGGGCAGCCTGCTCAGCCAGGGCCTTTCCTTCGGTCAGGTCCCGAGGGAGGGTGGGCTTCTGCCCTGACGGCCCAAGTCTCCTTGAAACGTTCACACTTCTTGATCAGAAGAACCAAAGGGAGGGAGGGAAGCAGACGGAGCTTCCACAGAACTGAGCACTTGTTTTTTAATAGGACACTTGATTATTAATAGCAACCCCAAAGATCACCGGCTCTATTATTTCAGTATTGCTGGCTTGTCATGTTTTAAACCTCACTCACTATGGAAATGGTGTTATGCAGGTAAATTCAGACATGACTGAGGCAGCCTACAGGTGAATGATGATTTTTAAAAAGAAATATAAGTCTCTAGGCAACAATTCAGTCAAGTACAACTTTGATACGGTTTTATTTACTTACAAATACGTGTGCTCGTCTTCAGAAGACCCAAGCAGAGTTCCTCACTGGTCCAGCTCACTCTCGTTCTGCAAGGTCTTCAAGGCCAGGCCCCAGAGCGCCATGCTGGAGAAGGGGCCCTCGTTATTTCGGGGCTGGGCGGGAGCCACATGGCTGCTGGTGGGGTCCCCGTTCCAGCCGCTGCCCAGGGCACTTGCAGAGGAGCGAATGGAGGGCAGAGGGCCAGACTGCAGCGGTCCCTGCTCAGACGGGGGATGACTTTGTTTAAAAGTACAAGACTGAGCCGGTCCTTCTTGAGATTTACAGAGTTTGGCAGGATCCAAACTCAGTTTCTGAGCGTCTTTTCCCTCCCCAGGCCTTGCCCTGCCAAATGGGGCTCCAGGAGGTCCAAACTCCTTTGGCGAATGTCCCCTCGAGTGGGGTGGACATTTCTCTGATACTGACAGGAAGATTTCCTGGGTAAAGAAATCTGAACTTTGGGACTTCTCAAGATCAGGAGTTTCCATTCCGTGAGAAAACTTGTCTACAATAGCTGAACTTTCACTGTTAGCTTTACAGTGGGTTTTTTTGTGTCGACGTAAGACAGCAGAACGGCTGAAACATTTATTGCAGGTCTCACAGTGATAAGGCTTTTCCCCGGTATGTGTTCTGATATGTCTTCGCAAATCTCCGGATCCTGTAAAACATTTTCCTGTAAAATAAGATATGTATTGTTCTTTCAGCAAAGGTCAATGATTTAATTCTAAAATTACTACATTTTCATTCGTGCGGTTCATTGTTACGTGCACCTACACATCAAAAACAGACTTGTTCTCTACCGCCCCAGTGGGCAGATCAGATCCAGTAGGTTAAAACTGCAAGGAAGGGGCTGCCTATCAGGAGGGCCCCCCTGACTGTGCATGCTGTCAGCCAGCGGAAGAGGCTGCTGTGCCAAGGGGAGGGTTCTCCTTGGCGAGAGAGGCCTTTTGAAAAGAAGGTGGGAGGTTCTCTGCTGGAGAACCCCTGGCGGCTCCTTCGCGGCTGGGCTTTAGCCAGGCAACAACATTTAAGAGTCCTTCCAACTCCTGCATCTACGCTTCTGCCACAACTCCCTTCATTTTGAGCCGGGGGGGGGTCCCATGCTGGGAAAGCAAACTGTAGTAGTCCAGCTACTGTAAGAGACAAGGACACGAGGACATTGCAACGAAATCTGCAAAAAAGTGTTACATTGGAGACATTTCAAAGGATTTTTGAAGAAATGGGAAAGAAGCGTGAAGACACAATGGCAGCAACAACATCTGCCACTGCAAAAGTGTTATTTAACAGTTTTTAAAGAAATGAAAGTTGCAAAGGAAAAGAATTTTGAAGCATTTATAAGCTGACAGGATAAAGAAGTAAAACAAACCTCAGTTTATGCAGAAATACTGGAAAATAAAATAGTAGTCAGATATGAAAGGTAAACTGGAAATGCAGACAGTAAGAACGACTCATTTGGATTTATAATAGAGGGCTATAAAGCCACGAGGAAATGGGAGAAAGAAAATTTGGGTGGAAATTAAATCCTACAAAAGCATCTTACTGGGGCAAAGATTAAGAAGGTTAAGAGCAAAAGAAAGGAATATAAAGTGGATCTGCTGAATCAGGGTTAAAACCAGAAATACTTTTACAAAGTTCTGGCAACGCATCATAGACTGTTTGCTGACACTCGACAGAAACATTAATGAATTTTGGATTTACGGATGGGTAGAGGAGATTCGGGAAAGGTAATAGAGCCAAGAGGACTGAAAAATACTCAGTTTGCTTCTATTTGTAAAAGAAGATAGAAAGTCACTTCTGGAGATATTTTCTTTTTCCCCTACTTTTTCTTTCTCTTTGATTTCAGTTTTTCTATTGTTGCTTCTACTTTCACTTTTACTATCATTAAAATCTTTAATACTGTTTTTAAAAAGGATAAATGTTGTAATTTTATTGAATCTTAACGAATGCCTATAGTTTCCAGCTGAGACAGGGGATGTAATTCTTGAAGTCTATATTATGAGTATAACATATTGCCTGTTAATTCTTCTTTTGATGAGGAGGGGAAATAGTTTGATATTATTGTTTGAGTGATCAGTACCATGTCTGCTAAGTACAGAATTTTCACTATCTTCATATGTGTTCCAAAGGTACAACAGAACAATGAAAAGGTTAGCATTTTTAGTGGAACTTTCCAAACCACCAGAAAACCTTCTGACTTACCACAAACTGAACAGTTATATGGCTTTTCTCCTGTGTGTCTGATCCTGTGTTTTACTAATTTCCGTGGTAAATTAAATGACTTTCCACACTCGTCACATGTGAATACTTTTTCTGCTGCATGGTTCTTCTTGTGTTCCTTTAAATTACTAAAGTTACTAAACCCTAAATTAAGAGAGTTTGAATCAGAATGATCACTCACAGGGTGAAATAAATTACAATTAAAAATCCTTCCCCAGGGCCACCCCAGACCACAGAGCCCAGGCCAAACACGGGGGGGGGGACCTGAGCTTGCGAGGGTGAAACCTCTCCTCGCATTGACTCCTGGCCTACAAGGGGAGAGTCAGCAGGGACCAGCGCACCACCAGTGGCCTTGGGCCGCTGCTCATTCTGGCCACGGCCACCTGGCTGCTTTCAGAACCCCAGCAGGACGGTGCCGGCACCCAAACGAGGCCTAGCAGGGAAGAGGCACATGCCGGAATGACAGCTTGGCTTACTCGTCCAGGGAAGTTTAAGCAGACCTACCTCGACCACAAGTGTCACACAGGTGCGGTTTTTCTCCAGAGTGAATAATAAGGTGGCGCTGGACGTCTCCAGAGGCAGCAAACCTGTAACACCGTTGTGAGAGCCACTGTGAATGTCCCAATAAGCACTTTCTGCACCCTCCTCCCTTGAACGCATCATGTCCCTGGCAGGCAGACCTGCATTCTTAATCTAGCTGGAAGAAATTTAAGAGACCCAGAACTTTCCCATGCAGATATGTTAGCCAACGGATCTTCTGGGATGTGTTACCTTAGTGGACAGTGAAGAGTAAATCTCTACATATATGATTAATAGATATAAATGCATATAATATGTATGAATTTCACAGACATACAAACCTCTTCCCGCAGATTTCACAAATGAATGGTTTCTCACCAGAATGGCGACGCAGGTGAGTCTGAAGATTGCCTGCCTACAAAGATAAATAAACGTTTTTAACCAGAGAGGTTTACAGTTGGAAATGAAGACCTTCAAATAGTTCCTTAGGTTAATCCTGATACTTGAAAAATAAGAGCAACCCCCTCCCCTCCAGGTACCATTGTGTCGTATCTGAAAAGGGGGGAGGGGCCTCCTTTAGGCAGAAGCAGCAGAGAATTCAACCCTTTACCAGACCTGGGACTGCAAAGACTTTGCTCCCCAACAGCAGATGGGCTGAACACAAAGCACCTTCCCCCCCCTCCAGGGCAGGTACTTCCAAATGGAGGCAAGGCCCTTCTCCTGTGGTATGAAGAGCTTTCCTCTCCTGGAACCAGCCTCAAGTGGGAGAGGGCGATTGCAGCTGTCATGGAAGGGGGGATCCGAAGTGACTTCTTCGGCCAAAGGCTATCGTCCTTTCACCGGGCACAGAGGAGCAGGAACAGGCAACCCCAGAGCAAGAGGGCAGCACTATGATGGCATCAGGGCTCAAAGCTCAGCATCCAAGCCTACATTTCTGCTCAAGGCAGAAGAGACTTTAAGATATTTATGCTTAGCTCTCCCTTCCCCGAAGGTGTGTGTGAGGGCCGCTCTCGCTATCCAGCTGCCTTCCTTGCAGACGTTTAATGAAAAATACGGTCCAATGCGATCATTTATTGCAGGAGGAAGAACAATGTGAAGTTTCCAGTTAGAAATTTGGAAACAGAATCAATGACAGGACAAATACTTAGGGATTAGGAATTCGTTCTCTCAAACTAGAATCCAGAACTTTTTTCATATCTGAAAATGGTACATGGTCATAATTTCTGAAGCTAACTTTAGGAAAGATAGGATTCCTTAGCAACACCAATCATGGGGAACAGAAACCATGTTTATTTTTTTTTCTGGTGAAACATATTTCTTAAAATTGTTTATCTTATTTTATGATTCTTGTAGAATTGCCATAAAATCATACTGTGTACAATCTATTGCCTGATCAATAGAAAGGGACTAGGTAGCATCTAAACAAAAATAAACTTAAATACAAAAGAATATTATTATACAAAATATTAAAACTCCTACCTGTGAGAAACATTTTCCACAAATGTTACATTCAAAAGGCTTTTCACCTAAAAGAAGAAGCAATTATATTTGCACTTCTGACAACTAACATTGAATGTATATAAAAAGGCAAAATGGCCATTTGCCTTTAAGTCAACATAAAAATAGCCAAGATGCCGTTTATATTCAACATATTTTATATTCACAATTCCCCTTAATATACAGATTAATTTTATTTTGTATTAATAAGGCTTAATGCAAAATTAACTTAATTGTACATTATTCTGTGTTTACCCAGGAGCAAGTCACACACAGTTTAACAGAGCTGGACCATAAGTGAATACAAAATTGCCATTTTGAAATTCTTCACCATAAAGCTGGGATTTGGAACTTAGTGGTGTAGGCCCCAAAGAAAATTCTGGTCATTGGAGTGAACAGATTCTATAAGCACCTTAACATCCCTATGATACAATAAGATCATAATGTCTTTTTTTTTTTTACAAATCATTTCCTTTTTCCTTTGGAATGGCTGTAAATGGTAGTATATGAAATATGTATCAACTATGGCAAAGCAGAGTAACTTTTTTATGCAAAAAGTTCTATCAGGGAAACCAGGTAATAATTTTTTTAGAAGTGCTATGACTGGCCCTTATCAGAAAAAAAAATTGCACACCTTTACTGGAAAACACACACACACACACACACACCCTGAATGTTTAAGCGCCTTCCCAGGGATGGAGGCCATTTGAGGAGGGCCATGAGACCCGATTACCGCAGGAGGAGGACCTGGGAGATCATGGCGGCACCAGAGCCTCCCTGGGCCACCAACGCCTTTTCAGCTGCTAAGGCCACATTCCAGCTGGCTCCCCCTGCGGTCGGTCGGTCATTCGATAGCCGGCCGGCCGTGTTAACTGACTGTACCTGTGTGAGACCTTACGTGGAGCTCCAGGTTGCTCGGATGTTTAAAATCCTTTCCACACAACGCACAAGGATACTGCCTCTCTGGAGGGGAAACCTTGCATGGGCTCCCTGGCCCAGACAGCTCCCGGGACGGCTCCAATTCTACACATTCGGAACTCACTAGCCCACTGGGACGTTTCCCTTCAGGAACTACAAACGTGATCGTCCTTTTTGTGCTGCTCTGACTTCCTAATTCGGTTCCTTTTGCAACGGCTCTGTCAGGATCACGTACTGAAGACTGCTCAGGAGACCGTAACAGATTCAGTTTTTGAAGGTGGATAGCTTTCTTAAGCCTCAACTGTTTGGCTGGCTGTAGGGAGGTGTCCTCCGTGTCTTGGTCCTCGGGACAGTCATGTAAGGACTGAGCGAGAAAGGCTGGTGGCAGGGGGGGATCAGACGACTCCAAAGTACATTGGCTGACGTTGCACGAAGTAGCATCCTGAGCCGTGTCTTGGGCTGGAGATATTACAAAATCAGGGGGCAGTTCTAGTAACCCCTTGTTGCTGGGACAAATAGTTTGTTTGCAGAACTGCTTGCTATAAAAGTTTCGGAGCTTATAATGGCCGTTTGGCAGTTTAAAGGACAGATCCGCTCCAACATGGTCCAAGGAGTCTTGTTTCGGTTTGGTTCTCTCAGCTGATGAGCTGTGAGGTACACAAGGCTGCGGCCCAGCTTGCCGGTCATCCAAGACTTTACAAGCAGCAGTTGAACAAACATGGAGCACATCATAATGTCCACAGTGGGTATCAACAACCAAAGTATTTTGCAAAGAAAATGTATCATTGCCAGTCAGACTGGCTGGCTGCTGTATGGATCGGGAGGTTTTTAAAAAGGAGTGACACAGATTCAAAATATTCTGCACCTGCAAGCACTGTGCAATATCCAGCAAGTTCTGTATATTATCCTGGTTGAGGTCAAGATGTGCAGTGTACATATAATCCAAGATCTGGCCTATGCCACCCACGTTCTTAATGTCCAAGTGAAAAACATCATTCTTCTGGCTTGGAGAATTTTGAAACAGGGTCCTAGGAAAGAAAAGCAGAATTACAAACAAGGGGTACATCTGCTTATCCTCAAATCCCGTTTATAGACATTAACATTACATTGGCCCATCCCACCCAGTCGGGCAGGGAAGGTATGTTGGAGACCTTGTTAATTAAAGAGCTTCGACTAGCAGAGTCCAGGAAGAGAGCCTTTTCTGCCGTTTCTCCACCCCCCCCAAAAAAGTGGAATATTTTCCCTCAGAGGCGAGGCAGGCCCCCACCCCCCTGGCCTTCCCAAAAGGATCAAAACTTGGCTCTTTGGCCTTGCATGGAGAGCCCATAGGAGCATGCAGCGCAGGGTCTGGTTAGTCCTTGAAAACCTCCCCTTGCCTTTTAACTCATTTTCACAGCATTTAATCCTCCTTACCTCCTTCCTTCTAAACTATTTTTCTATTTTTTAAACTTTTATATATACTTTTTAATATTTTTAAATTTTTATTGTACACTGCCCAAAGTCCCTCTCTGAGGAGATTGGTGGCTCAAAAGCGTGAAAAATAAGTAAGTAAACATAAAAGTGCACATATTCATCAATGTTTTAAAAATCTTGCTCACAGCATTTGGTTAGATAATAATTGCACAACAATATTACTGAAAGCAGCAATTTTTTTTATAGCAAACATACATATTGGAATTTGCAATTTCAGTCTCTGACACAGTTTCAGTCTATGATATTAACTGGAAAAAAAAACATTTAAAGGTCATCTTTTAATCCTCCTATATAATTTCCGTTTTCAGAGAGCACAAAGGATGGCAGGATATCCTCAATTGAGTTTGTAGTATTGCTGGTGGTAGCAACAGACAGCTATGTTTGAAGTCACTGGATCTGAATGTAACCTAAGTATACGTAACATTTGTTGTGAACAAGACTTTGTGGTTTGACATTTTGCATTTTAATTTTACACTTGTGTATGACCACACATTAATTAATAATGTATTTCCTCTTAAAGAACTTATAGAACTAGAATGAGTGCACACTGCTAGTAAAGGAGTTTGTAACCAACTCAGTTAGAGCAAATCATAGTCGATACTCCTAGATCTCGGTAAAAAGCTTAACGCATACAGGGATCCTTATTCAGTGCAAGCATTTCTGGAAAACTTTCTCATTATATACACTGTCTTGAGTTCTATGAAAGAGAGTGGATATAATAGGAAATGTATTTACTTATTTATTCATTTAAGGAATGCCTGTGGCACAGTGATCCTAGACAACAACCATTAAAAAGAGCAATATAAAAACATACCACACCCATCCCATCAGGTGCTGGACCAGCCATACAGTTCCCCCCCCCGACTCTTAGCACAATGCTTGGGAGAAGAGTTTTTGGAAGGCTAAAAGAGTTACACACACACACACCCCAATATCAGTATAGCGGAGGGCTATACTGCGTAGAGCCAGGGCATCTGCACGCACAGAAGGCATGCCTCCAAGGTCCCATCAGATTATGTGTGAGGGAAGGGACCTGGAGCAGGTTGACCCTGTTCTGATCCAGTGGGACTGGCCGATGCTCTTTGGGAGACAGTCAGTCAGCCCCTTGCACCGTCATGACACCTCTGGGGACCCTTGTGGACCCTCCCGCCCGGCCCCTGCAGTCCCTCTCATGGACCCTCCTGGATATTCCCTGATGTATGTAGCACCTCTCGCGCATCCTTGCTGACACCTGCAGCACCTCTTACATACCCCAGTGGACCCTCCCCCCCACTGCTCCCCCCTTCTCTTTATCTCTCTCTCTCTCTCTCTCTCTCTCTCTCTGATCACAGGACTGTGGGCCACCCTAGGAAGCTGGACCGCTGCTCTAGAAGAATAGAGAGAGAAAACCTTTCCCAAACTGTTGACAGGTAAACTACACGGATGCATCTACATGACATCGAGCCAAGACCTTGCACTGCTCATAGTATTTTTATGCAATATAATTATATCTTTTTTAACATGTATTGTATATGAAATTAGATTCCTTAATTTTAAAACAGAAAAACACATTTATAGATAATCAAAGCTTTTATTTTATTTTTGCAGTTGGTAACAGTTTTTAGGAGCAACATCACACCATGTTTTCCTTATTTCATTTTGCTTTCTGCACACTGTCCAGAATCCTGGCGATTGGGGAAGTCTGTAAGAATTGTAAATATATAACTCTTGTTAACTTAATGGCACTTCTGCCTCCCATGCCCTACTTAATATTCATTAAAATAGTTTTTACTAACATACCTAAAATATTGGCTGAAAGCAGCCAACACATTTTTATGTGCTTTGAAGGAGACACCTCTGACCACCAACATACAATCACAGAGAAGACCTTGTATCCGCTGATTGTGGAGCTGCTGAAGGAGGTGGCAACTGTGATTAGCAAAAGCATCCATGCTAGAACGTGTCTATGTTACCTAAAAGACAAAAAAAAAAAAACATTTTACGTATGCAGTTATAAGCATGTGCTAAATTGTGTAGGCATATACATCAGAGCTGCTCTACGCAAAAGGATTAAATGTTATATTGTTTTAAAATGCAACCCAAATCCCAGCAGACAGACAGCTTTGCCAGAAGAGCCCCATTTCATTTTCTGACCAGGTCGCTTCCTTAACAAACTAAAGGCACACAGTAGACACGGTGTATCTTGATTTTCCTAAAAAGCCTCTCATAATTAGAATACTAGTCCTCAGATTACGACCACTTGTTCAGTGACCAACATTTTGATGGTGTCCAGTTTGCAATTATGAGGGTGCAGCAAGCTGCAGTCACATGACCGCAACTTCCCACGTTTTCTGCCAGCTCTTCATAAGCAAAGTCAATGGGGAAGCCACTAGGAATTCGGAAATGACTCCCTGCCTGCTTGCCTGCTACTGCTGTCTTCCCGCTGAAGGACCTGTGCAGCCCTGGGGTTACAACAGCAACACAGACTGCCGGGATTCCCAATGCTAAGCGATGCAGTCACACGATGTTGCGCTTTATGACCGCATCGCTTAGCAACAGCAAGTCTGGTACCAATTGCCAAAGTAACCTGAAGACTACCTGCACCTATTTCATTTTTTATTGGCATTGGGATGCGTCCACGGGTGGCTTAAGTGAAACAGCCTGCAAATATGCAACTTAGCAGCAATGTAAGTGGAACAAACCCAAGCCACGAGTAGCAATCTAGGCAGGACATAGTGAACTGTAGGGGAGGAAGCAATTCCACAAAATGCTACAAAAATCCAAAGGTGGCACTTTGACAGGGTGAGCCAGGGCCAAGATGAAATATATCCGACGAGCTTATTGTGCCCCAAGCAGCCGAGGCTGCAGCCACTCTGCCAACTGAGAGACAAGGAAGAAAGGGACGGCCCGACATCAAGAGAACTCTTGGGAAGAAGCTGAAGAAGGACGGATGAGATCCCGGCTCCTGGGGAGAAGCCCAGAGGCACCTCCCGCAGACGACCAGAGAGTGGGTGGGTGACGGGGCACCCAGAGCCGAGGGCGGGAACACCTTCCGAGAGGTGGTGGTCTTCAGGTGGTCCTCAGCTTACAACAGTTCATTTAGTGACTGTTCAGTTACAACATCACTGAAAAAAGTGACATGGCCATTTTTCATACTTACGACCGTTGTAGCATCCCCCTGGTCATGTGATCAAAATTCGGATGCTTGCCAACTGACCTGCATTTATGACGGTTGCAGTGTCCCCTTTTGCGACCTTCTGACAAGCAAAGCCCATGGGAAAGTCAGATTCACTTAACAATCATGTTACTAAGTTCACAACGGCAGTGATCCACTTCGCAAATGTGGCAAGAAAGGTCGTAAAATGGGACAAAGTTCACTTAACAACAGTCTTGCTTAGCAACAGAAATTTGGGGCTCCGTTGTAGCTCGAGGACCAGCTGTACATAATGGGCAAGATGAAGAAGTCTCAGCCTTTCCTTATTCTGGAAAAGGAAGGAAGGAAGGACAGGAAGGACAGGAAGGGAGGGAGGGAGGAAGGACAAGGAGGGAGGGAGGAAGGAAGGAGGGAAGGAAGGACGGGAAGGGAGGGAGGAAGGAAAGAAGGAAGGAAAGAAGGACAGGAAAGGAGGAAGGGAGGAAGGAAGGAGGGAAGGAAGGACGGGAAGGGAGGGAGGAAAGAAGGAAGGAAGGACAGGAAGGGAGGGAGGAAGGACAAGGAGGGAGGGAGGAAGGAAGGAGGGAAGGAAGGACGGGAAGGGAGGGAGGAAGGAAAGAAGGAAGGAAAGAAGGACAGGAAAGGAGGGAGGGAGGAAGGAAGGAGGGAAGGAAGGACGGGAAGGGAGGGAGGAAAGAAGGAAGGAAGGACAGGAAGGGAGGGAGGAAGGACAAGGAGGGAGGGAGGAAGGAAGGAGGGAAGGAAGGACGGGAAGGGAGGGAGGAAGGAAAGAAGGAAGGAAAGAAGGACAGGAAAGGAGGGAGGGAGGAAGCCAGCTCCCCCTTACCGCCCCCCTCCAAAAATCCCCCCAGAAAAAGCGACTCACGGCCAGGCGGGCGGAATCCCGGGCGGGGGAGGGGGGGAAGGAGGAGGAAGAGACGAGCCGCGCGCCCCCGCCATTTGGACGCTTCCAAACGGGCACTCCCCCCCGCCGCGGCAAGACGTCGGCCACTCCCGGCCGGAAGTCGCCACCATAGAGAGGAGGCGGGACGTCCAGCGCCATCATAGAGAGGAGGCTGGACGTCCGGAGCGCCTCGCGAGCGCCGCCGGAACGGGCCTCTCCCTGCGCGCGGGTTCCCTTCCGCTCGGGCCGCTTCCTTCCGGGCTGAGCCGGTCTGATCGCCCGTGGGAGGACGCGGCGCTCTCCCCACCCGTGAGCGGTTCGTGCTCCGACTGGCGGGTTTCCCCCCTCCCCCACCCCCAGGGCGGCCTCTTCCCGCCTGAGGAGGGGGGGCAGTCCTTCCCCTCCAGGGCTGGGGGGTCTCGCTGTGGCCGGGCGTGGGGGGGGGGAGACTGAGGGATGGGGGGCGGGGGGAATAAAAAGCGCCGGTTGCCTCGGAGACCGGCAGGGGGCACCCGCTCTCCTCCTCCCCCCTCCTGGGCCCCCTCCTTTCCGCATCTCTTGGGGGGGCGTCGGGGGGGCAGCGTTGGTTCCCCCCCCCCCTTTGTGGCTGTTAAGGATGAGGAGGCAACTGCCGGCAGCGGCTGTGGCGGTGTGAGGTTCCCTGTGGGCCGCTCCCAGTTGAGAGTAATTCTCTATGGTGTGGTGCTTGGGTCGTTTTCTTCTTGGAAGTAGAATTTCTAATCCTACATTAAATGCAGCATCAGATTTTTAATTCTGTTTTCAATTTATTTCTAGGATTTGTGGAGGAGCAGCGAATCAGACTTGGGAGAGAGAGAAACAATTAGTTTTCCAGAATGGTGTTTTTTACGTGTAACGCCTGCGGAGAAGCCCTGAAGAAGGGACAGGTGGAAAAGCATCTGAATATGTGCCGACACTGCCAGTGTCTGTCTTGCATGGATTGTGGGAAGGATTTCTGGTAGGTTGAAACCAATTGTGATGTACTTGTGATGTGTTCTTTTTCTTATGTTGAAAATAATAATAATAAAAAAAAAATTTTGAAAAGAAACCGGCTTGTTTCTCCTTCGGCAGAGGAAGCTTTTCGATGGGCTTCAGCCGTTGCAGCATCAGACCAGCCTTTTCCGAGCGTGAAACTTAAGCAGGCTAGCTTGCTGCCAGCAAGGGCCTTGCTAGTGGGCTGCCTGGCAGCTCCAGAGCTGTGAGCTGGACTGGGATGTCCGAAAAAAGGCCCTGTGTTGTTACCAAGAGATGTCCATGGAGTTCTCCGGCATCCAGGCTGACCTGAAGGACACCGTTGAAGTATTGGAACTGTGGCTTATCCCCCTTTCTAGCCAAATCAGAAGCAGCTAAACTAAACAGTAAACATACTATGTATCTCAGATTATAGGGGAAGAAATCTCTAGGAACATCTGGGGAAGTAATAGAAAGGTTAATAGAGCCCAATGTGGGCAACCTATGGAAAATTGACAGGAAATAAGAGAATTAATATAATGTTGCATTTTGAGAAAAGGTAAAATTGAAAAGGGGAGGGGGGAGAGATTTAAAACTTCTTAAGGTTAGCCTAGATAATTTATTATCTCTGCTTGAACACAATCTTGAGTTCGGCACATAGAGTTTATTTCTTCCAGTATTGCATTTGTATAGTGCTGGATTTTAGCAAAAATGACTCCGAGGGGTTTACCACTGAAAAAAACAGTAATAACAGAAAAAAACTGCAAATTCATCAGCAATTACAAAGCAGTAAGTGTAATGGTGACTTCTCAAAGTCCCTCTGGAAGCATTCTGTCTTCAGCCGCTTCCCAACACCAATAATGAGGCTGCCAATCTAATCTTGAGGAGGAGAGCATTCGGTAAGGGAGGGGTTGCTGCAGAGAAACATTGCTTGCGAACCCCTGCCCTTCTGCCCAGCATTTGGGCGGCATTGAAAGATGTTGGCAGGTGGTCCACCCTGGAGAAGTATTCCGTAAGGAGGAGGTGGTTCTCTAAAAGCCTCTATGCCACAGGTGTCAAACTCGTCATGTCACGTGACATGTCACGACGTATCTCGACTCTCTTTGCATTGCCGGCCATGGGGTGGGCGTGGCTTCGGTATGATGAAACCGGCCCACGGGCCTGCAGTTTGACACCCCTGCTCTGTGCCAAGCAAGTTCTTTGCAAAGACCAGCCTTTTCCAACCTTTTCACCCTGGAGAAAATCTTGACACAATTTTTAGTCTCAAGGGACTCCAGAATAATAATAATAAAAAAATACTTGTACTTCACAATACAACTCATTTCTAACCTGCAAAATCCAAATTTTGCATTATTTACAGAGCAGACTAGCGGGCCAGCAGCTGAGTGGGGGCAGGCAAACTTTCCCAGCATTGCACGGCATAAGAAAAAACAATTATTTCCCCCCCCCCCACTGTCATGCCCTTTTGTGGGGCAGTTGGGAAAAAAGCTAGCTTAGATCTACCAAAGTCTTTTAAGTTAATTATGCTGCTTTAATATATTTCAGCAAAATGTTTGGGAAGAGCTCTGCCAAATGCCTTCCGTTAGGGGTTATTTATATCTGCACTTATAATGCAGGGATGATGATTATAAACACCACGTGAAGTGCCTAAGTGAAGATCAGAAGTATGGAGGAAAGAATTATGAAGCCAAAGTCCCCAAAGGAGACGTCAAGCAGCAGGAGTGGATTCAGGTGAAGTAAACCAAACACACCAGAAATTGCATTTAATTTAAAAAAAAACATTTTCATTATTTGTTATACCCCACTCTTTTTATAATGGTGCCCAAGGCCCAGTAAAATGCAATAAAACTAATGTAATATAATGCTGTGTATAGAGCACGGGTCGGCAACCCGCGGCTCCGGAGCCGCATGCGGCTCTTTCAGCCGTCTCCTGCGGCTCCCTGTCCTCAGCCACCATTTGCAGTCCGGGAAAAAAAAAGTAGGGCTAAAAAAAATTCAACCAATCAATTCAAACTTCTCACGAAGTTTGAATTGATTGGTTGAACTTCTTTGGTTTGTGGGACTGCCCACAAAC